CGGCTGCGGGGAGAGTGAGGCCGGGAGCGGGGAGAGCTATGCCGGGGTGCGGGGAGAGTGAGGCCGGGAGCGGGGAGAGCTATGCCGGGGTGCGGGGAGAGTGAGGCCGGGAGCGGGGAGAGCTATGCCGGGGTGCGGGGAGAGTGAGGCCGGGAGCGGGGAGAGCCGGGCCCGTTTCGGGAGCAGGGAAAACTATGCCGGGGTGCGGGGAGAGCCGGGCCTGGGAGCGAGGAGAGCGAGCCGGGAGCCGGGAGCGGGGAGAGCTGTGGCGGGGAGGGTGGGAGCGAGGAGAGTGAGGCCGGGAGCCGGGGGAGCCAGGCACATCTCGGCGGCAGGGAGAGCGAGGCCCGGCCCGGTGCCGGTGGGATGCTGGGGAGTTGAGGGCGCTGCGCAGCGGCCGTCGTCGGGGCTGTGTGTTTCCTTAACCACCCCATCAGCTCCCAGCTCACCATCAACACGGCCATCGTGTACATGCACCGCTTCTATATGGTGCAGTCCTTCACCCAGTTCCACAGGAACGTAAGTGTGCTGGGGTCTGGCGGGGCGGGGGGCGCCGGGAACCCCCCAGCTCTGCTCCTGCTGCTGCCTGGCCCAGCCAGCTCGGTGACGTGGTGGGACCGACCCTGGGGAGGGGGCTTGGAAAAGGGCGCGGTGGCTCGTAGCTGCCGGTAGTCACTAGAGACCCTTTTCCTTCCTGATGGTGTTTGGACTTGCGCAGGCTTTGTTTCCTGAAGGAATACTTTATTTAGACATGAGAATTAGCCTAATTTATTCGCTTTAATCTTGAACTTACTAACTTTAAAAAAAATAATGGTTTTTTTTTTCTCTGAAGTCGGTGGTACCAGCAGCTCTGTTCTTGGCAGCCAAGGTGGAGGAGCAGCCTCGTAAGCTGGAGCACGTAATCAAGGTAGCACATGCCTGTCTGCATCCCCAGGAAACTCCTCTAGACACCAAGAGCGAGGTAAGTGTCGAGATTGGAGAACTGGGCTCTGATGTGAGGAGCGGAGGCACGAGGAATGGGAATGGCGGAAGCGTGCTGCATCCTGAATCGCGTGGCTACAGCGTCTCGTTAAATCGGGTTCAGCAGTACCCGCTCTCTAAGCGAGTGGCTGTGTCCTAGGATGGTCAGTGACAGCTTTCCAATTCGACTGCTCTTACGCTACTGAGAGCTTTTTGGCTTCTGTACAGCAGAAGGCTTTTCTTTCCTGCTCTGTGGCAACCTCTCTTCTGTTCTCCTCTGCTGTGCTGCTGCAGTTGTGACTCCTGTGCTGTGTAACAGTGTCTGCGTGAAAAGCTTCTGAGGAGGGCATGGATGTTGACTGCTGCGATTGAGTAGTGTCTGTGGCAGAGCAGAAGGCGGTGTGCGCGGTTTGGTTCTGTTCTGTCCCCACGTGTTTAATGGTGGGTTTATTAAAAACGTTGCCGATTCCCCATCTCTCGAGACAGCCCGTCTTACCTGGAACTGAGCAGCCAACCCTGCTGAAAAGGGGCAGCTTTATCCAGGAAAGCTTAAGGAAAAAAGAAAAGCAGCTAATTCCTCTCCTGTACTGCTCGTATAGCCGTCCCGTGCAGTGCGAGGGACCAGGACTGAGAGGGCCACTGTGGATCCCGAAGCAGCCATCCCCTAGCAGAAGCACTAGCAGGGGAGCGGGTCCACCCCAGCACTCTGCTTTCTCTTTTCTGGCAGGGAATCTGTGCCAGTTCCCCCAGTGCAGATCGGCAGAAAGATTCCCCTTTGCTATTTTTGCCTCCCTGAGAAAAGGGTGTTAGAAATGTGCAGGCTTTATACGGAGTGCCTCATCGTGAGTAACTTGCCTGTCCTCTCAACCCCAGGCTTACCTGCAACAAGCCCAAGACCTGGTCATTCTAGAGAGCATAATACTGCAGACCCTGGGTAAGTTTTTCAAAGCGGACGGGCTGCCACACGAATCCCAGACCCAGGAGTGTTCCGCAGAGCGGAGAGCCTAACCGCACAGTCTTCTCCACAGCTGGAGGGCAGATGTACAGCTGGCCAGTGGGAGAGCAAGAGTCCAGGCAACAAACTCTATTTTTCACACCCGCTCCTTCTGTTTTCCTTTTAACATCAGTTTTTTCAGGTGTAACTCGTGTCAGGTTCAATGCTCAGAGAAATTAAAGCGTGGAAGTGTGGCTCGTCTCCCCCCCGTCCCCCAACAGGTTTTGTACCGCTTGGACACCGGTCGCTGTCCTCCGTTGTGCTGTTCAACTCGATAATGCTCTAGTCCTGTGGCCAGGAAGCAGTTTGCACTGAGAGATGTCTAACAAAACCTGGGCTGAAAGTTAATATTTTGACCAGATAGCTGTCCCCCAACAGGTTTTGTACCGCTTGGACACCGGTCGCTGTCCTCCGTTGTGCTGTTCAACTCGATAATGCTCTAGTCCTGTGGCCAGGAAGCAGTTTGCACTGAGAGATGTCAAATTATTTTTTGACCAAAAAAAAAAAAAAAGGGGGGGGGGGGGGGGGAAGCAACAGTTTTTGCGGGTTTTTTTGAAAGTAGAAGCTGGAGCCTACGTTTAGGGCTGCGGCCGTTGGATCCAGTATCCTGTTCCTTTCTAAAATGTACTGTTAGAACTTGTTTTTACTAACGTATGTTCCATTTCAGAGGCAGTTTGTAGATAGCGTTCCACTCCAAAATACTCAGTAATCTTTGTTATTTCTGACTTGGTTCGGAGTCAATGCCGCTGGTCCCTCGCTCAGAAGGGGACAGGAGGGGCAGGTGTGTCGATGGGTCGCACGCGCTGGCCTGGCGAGCCAGTGGCTAAACTGTGACCCCAGTTCTGCAACGACTCGGTTCGCCAGTTGCCTTTTTTAACGTCCCAGTTCTAGAATGTTCTGCATGGGAAGAACCAAATCTGTTGCACACATGGACCGATTTGAATTTTTTTTTTTTCTTTAAAACATAATGCCCAAACTGAATAGGAAACTGAAGCGAGGATTAAGTTCAGTTGTCTTCAGTGCTGTAGGCTCCTTCAAAGGGAAAACGTCTGCTTCCTCTTAGCTTTTTGGGTGACAGAAATTCCTTTGAGCAGATGCCATTGTCTTCTCCTTCCTCCCAGCTGCTGTAAGAGGCTTTGTCCTGCTATTTTTAAAATCCTTAATAGTTGTTTTGTTTTCAGTGAGGTCTTTCAAGCGCAGAAGTCATTTAGCTGCTTGGAGGTCTGGCAGCAGCAGTGACCTTCGGGGTTTGTGACTGGAGAACTTGAGTCTTCTGGATACAGGAAAACGGGCTCCTCTATTCCTGCTTGCCTCCGAGCAGAGAGCAGGGGCTGTAGGAGGGAAGGGGAGAAGGCCTTGTCCCCCAGGAGCAGGAAACGTGAGGTTCGTAGATCCGTGGGGGTGTGCTGCTGGTTTTCTGATGGCCGTATGTCTGTGTTCTTCCAGGTTTTGAGATCACTATTGACCACCCCCATACCCACGTGGTGAAGTGCACACAGTTAGTGCGAGGTAAGCGATATCAGATGTCGGGTGCTTGTGGCTTCTCCGTGTAACCTCAGCCTGATAGCGAAGAGCTGTGACAATACATTGTAGTGTTTAGCTGGGATTGATTGCCCGAGAACTTGCCTGCAGCCAGTCTCCTTAATAACCATAACGAATGTCAAAATAGAGGCAGTTGCAGGTGACTGACGCGATGTTGTGGCTCTGCTGAACCACGTGAAGCTCTATGTCCAGTAATTTCTAAAATCCTTCTAGCTGTGGCGTAGAGTTAGTCGAACTGTGCTGGCTCTCTTATTTTGTGTGTGGTGGCGAGAGGCCCGTGGTTCTTGCACTACAATGGAATAATGTTTGTCAGGATATGCAGACTAATGCCCTGCTTTTTCCTTTTCTCTTTCAGCCAGCAAGGACTTGGCCCAAACTTCCTATTTCATGGCTACCAACAGGTTATTATTTTACAATTGATTCATATTTGACAGAGGGTCTTATCTGGAGGAGATGTGCTACTGGTGACCCCTGGGGCGTTGGTCAGCCTGCGAGCGACTGGGGATTGCTCGGTTTGGTTCAGAAAGAGCAGGAACCCCTTCTCCTGCTAGCTGCCGGTCAAAACCAGCTGCAAAATCAGCCATATAAGCGAGGCAGATGGGATGCTCAGGAACCTCGCTGCTTTCTTTTATGGGGAGTTTGGCAGTTGTGAAAGTTCAAAAAAAAAAACCAAAACCCAACAACCCCAAACCAAAACAAAAAGGTAGACTTGAAATGAGCATATACCTTTTTTTTGCTTGCTTAGTACCTAGGTGTCAGAGAGTTTTCACTGAACTAGGTGCTGTGCAAATTGTCAACAAATAGGGTCTGTACCCCAAAGAGGGCTGATCTAGAGTATGAAGGAAGAAAAAGGGTAGCTGGATGCAGGCGTGAGGCGTTACAAGAGAAAACGATAGCCTTGTCTGGCCTGCGTGACTGGACAGGCAGGCCTGTAAGCAGAGTCTTGGAAACGAAAAAAGCCCCTAGTTTTTTTCACCTTGACAGGTCTGGGTAGTGTCACTAGGTTTTTACTGCAAGGCTGATACCAGCCCTTGTGTTGGGACTTCCGACACTTTTTAAAAATGTAATTTCCGGAATTACCAGCTTCAGGCAAATCACGGAGTTAACGTTTGGAACAGACCAAGTCGTGGACACGGAAAATCTTGCGGTTTTGTAAAAAGCTCGCGGAAGTGAAAGGATGGGAGAAAAAGATGGTTTAGGTGCTAGCACAGGTCGAAGCTGCAGAGTTGGAGAACGCTTCCAAGCCCTGGCCGAGCCGTGAATGCGCGTGGCCTTGGGCGAGTCATTTCTCTCCTCTCTGCCCGTGAGAGGTGTTACCTGCTCACCTCCACAGCACGCTGGGAGAATTGTTTGTTGAAGGTGCTCTGTAGCTCCAAAGGGCACTGTGTGGGTTTCCTGCATAAACTAGTGTAAAGGGAAGGTGGTGTTAGTAACGTGTGGGTAAATGCATGGTTGAAGCGTGTTTTATCCCTGCAGCAATAATTGCAAAACCAAGGAATTATGAGTTAAGGTTATACTTGAAAGAAATCCAGGCGGAAAATAAGAAATGTAGCCAGGCAGCCTCAATTTTGCCTTAAAGTGATGCCATGAAACGTCTGATTAAGGTGCTTAAGCAATGAACTGGATTTAGTCAGGCGTAGCTACGGATGTTTAACTTTTTATTTCCTTCTGGCATCGTTATGGGGCAGGGTTAAAGCTCTTTGTGCACCTTAACTTCACTTCTTACCTTGGCAGACTGGATAAAGGCTCTGAATTTCCTGGGGTTTGACTTCTTGGATGTATGGATAAATACAGTATCCGTGAAATGGTTTCAGACTTTTTGGCTGTAGGTGCCTATCTCTGTCTCTCTGCGTTGCATTGATGGAAAAATATTTAAGTAGCCCGAGGATGGCGAAGAAATGCAGATAATGCCATCCTGCGGCTGCACGTAGATGCTCAGTGGCACCATTTCCATCGAGCGCTCCTTGAAAGGGCCGATTCGCGAGTGTGACAGTGGGTAAATCCTGCACTCAACTTGCTGTCACGGTTTCTAAAGCTTAGTGGACCTGGTGTTCCTGCAGGTAGAGAGTAGGATGCTTTCTTAGTCCTGTTCTCAGTGCTACCTAGACCTCCCAGCACTGACTTCTGAGCTGTCACGTGGCAAATTAATTTACTAATGAAAATGCTTGATAGGCGGCCAGGCTCCCTTTTAGGCGCTCCTGAGTCATTCCAGCGTATGGTGCTATTCACAGCCGAAGCTTCAGTGCTTTTCCTAAAAATCATTTGGGAAAGACCAGACCCTTCCTAAAAGCCGAAGAGGGCCGGTTTGCTCCTTGAACGCCATCCCAGGACTCGCACTTGGAAGCGTCTGAGTTTCTTCTCAGATTGAGCAGAGCCCGCAGCAGAGGTGGGGGCTGGCAGGCGACCCAGCCGCTCGCTTTCTCCCTCGGAGGAGGGCTCGAGCGGGGCGGCAGCGTGCCTCGCTGCTCCTGCACGAGCTGCAGAGCCTTGAGCTGACAGAGTTGCCTGGACCCAAGTTATCTGCAGCAGAACAGGGAAGGAACAAGCAAATCGGTGGAGCGGGATAGAGACGCCCGTAACAGTAGGGTTGTACTGGGGGAGGAATGGCAGGGACTTCCCCACCACGTCCACCTCTTGCGCAGCGTCTGTTCAGTGGGCGATTGTGAGTGCTGAAGTTCAGGCTTGGGAGTTCATGGCTTTCTGTTTCTCTCTCCCTGCTGGTGACGTCAGCCTGCACCTGACCACCTTCAGCCTGCAGTACACCCCTCCCGTTGTGGCCTGCGTCTGTATCCACCTGGCTTGTAAGTGGTCCAACTGGGAGATCCCAGTCTCCACGGACGGGAAGCACTGGTGGGAATACGTTGATGGCACTGTAACTCTGGAGCTCTTAGATGGTAAGTTTTGGAGCGAGGTTTCCCCCCAAAGGCTCTTACGTTATTTTGGCATCTCTGTTCCTGGGTCTGCCGTTCAAACACGGCCACCGGCCAGTTCATGGACTCCAGGACTTCAGGTCTTGCCAAGGTTTCCAGTGCAGCAGCAGCTTCTATGGTACAACAGAGATGGCAAAAGGCGCGCAGTGAGATGAGTTTAAATGTGGTCAGTGATACTAGTTCTCAGTATTTTCCCCTCCTGGAGTAGCTCCATCTCATCAGTAGCTCCACTCATCAGTAAGTAGGGGGTTGCCCTGATGGATTAGTGCTGCTCTGCCCGCCTCTGACCCTCTTTTGTGTTTTTGTGTTTCCTCTGCAGAACTGACTCATGAATTCCTGCAGATCCTTGAGAAAACTCCCAACCGGCTTAAACGCATCCGGAACTGGCGGGTAAGAATCTGCTTTGGACCGCGGGTGCTTGCAGGAGAACACAGTCTCTGATTTCTTCTGTGTGCACGAGGCTGTGTGGCATCTCTGGTATTACAATGCAAGACAGTGTCTGAAGGGCATGTGTGGGGGGAAGTCTGAACGCTGTGCGTCTGCAAAATGTTGCCTTAGGGCTTGAGTTCATCTATTCTGAGTTAACTCTGTAGAGACCTTGGTTTTTCAGCTGCTCTTGCAACCCCACTTGCAGTGGTCGGGTCTTTTCCCACAAGGAGAGATGGGGGCAAAGTGGATCTGTCTTTAAATGAGAGCTTGCACTGTACAGGGTGAGCTGCTTGCATCAAACCAGCTCGAGTGACAGCCCAAAGTACATGACCGGTCACTGCTTTTATTCCAGGCCTCTCAAGCAGCCAAGAAGTCAAAGGCTGATGACCACGGTGAAGATGAGAGCCTGTCAGAGCAGACGATCCTCAACATGATTTCCAGGAACAATAGTTCGGACATGAACATTGCTGGGTTAATGAGCATGTCAACGTCCTCGACTGCCGGAGCGGGGCCTTCTCTGCCGGCCACGGCGGACTCGCCCAGCGACCAGAGCGGTGCGGATATGTCCCAGCCTGAGCACTGGCTGTCCCAGCATCCTCCACCCAAGCTGGAGGCTGGCCAGAGTCACAGGACTAACGAAAGCTCGTCGGCTGCTGAGCATCCTTTACAGCAAGATGGCGCTGGTTATCAGAAGCAGAGCGGCAAGAACGCCCCATCGGCCAAAGTGTCGCTCAAGGAGTACCGGGCCAAGCACGCCGAGGAGCTGGCGGCACAGAAGCGGCAGCTGGAGAACATGGAGGCCAACGTGCGGTCTCAGTACGCCTACGCCGCGCAGAATCTCCTGGTCCAGCAGCAGCGGGAGAGGGAAGTCCAGCAGGACAGCAACCCCTCTCCAATCATCCTGAAAATCCCCATCGGTGGCTCGGAGAACCCTGAGCGCCCTCCCGGCCCTGAAAAGAGTGACAAAGCCTCGGCTCTGAAGCTGAGGATCCCGGTGGCAGGTGGAGGTGGGGATAGGCCGCTCCCTTCCAAGCAGGAGGAGATAAAAATGCGGATCAAGGTGCCAACCGCTGCAGACAGGCACGGCTCCTCAGATGAGAGCAGCGGCAAGAACCGGGAGCACAAGGAGAAACACAAGGGCCACTCTTCTAACCACCACCACCACCACCACAACCACCACTCTCACAAACACTTACACGTCCAGCTTGGCACTGGCCCCAGCAGCGTGGTGAACAAGCGGCCAGGGGACTCTAAACACAGCAGCCAGCCTAGCGCCGTGCCCCACAAAAGCTACGGTCCCCTCGTCTCTTCCCGCAAGAGGGGGGGGGGGCCCGCCCCCAGCCACGGCCATGGCCGCAGCCCACGAGCACCAGCCCAAAGTCAGCAAAGCCTCCAAAGGCCCCGGCATGCCGTTCCCTTACCCCCACCTCCCCGGGGCGGCCCACCTCCCAGGGCACAGCTCGGATGCGGGCAACCTCCCCTTACCCCAGGCCAACAAAGCCCGGGGCACCCACAGCAAATCGGACAAGGGTCCCACGGGGGCCAACGGGCACAACGCCAACCAGGCCAGTGACTACCAGGATACGGTCAACATGCTGCACTCGCTGTTGAGCGCGCGATGCGGGCAACCTCCCCTTACCCCAGGCCAACAAAGCCCGGGGCACCCACAGCAAATCGGACAAGGGTCCCACGGGGGCCAACGGGCACAACGCCAACCAGGCCAGTGACTACCAGGATACGGTCAACATGCTGCACTCGCTGTTGAGCGCGCAGGGCATGCAGCCCACCCAGCCCCCTGCCTTTGACTTCCACTC